ATGTTACAGTCACTGCCCTTGCCGTCCAGAATAAAAGAGAACATCCCAGTCGAGTGAAGGGATTTGTGGAAACTGTGGTTCCTAATTATTGTGATCCAACATTTGCCTCGCATTTCAGGATGAAAAGACAAACATTTCAGGTGAAGGCAGTGGTGATACACAGGTATACGCTGTATACCCACTAGGAAAGGTGAAGGATTTCTGTATACCCACATAAAAAAGCACCAGGATACGTAACAACATCATTTTGTAACAGAACTTCCACACGTTCATTCATAAATTCACCCCGTCCATGTAGCGAAGCACCTACTTTTTGAAAATCATGCCGTGTTTCTGTTGATGACCAGTGCTATTGCGCAGCATTGAATGTGAATCACTAAAGGAGATATGAAACGAAAGCAAACTCAAACTACACTCTTTCGGTGTTTTCGTAAGCCTGCCCCTGTAGCTGCTGCTGCTTCAGCTGCAGCAGATGACACGAATCGCTTAAATGTTTTCATTGGCAAGGCTTAAAAAAACGTGCAAATGATTACGTTTCGTGAGGACTCACCAGTGGCCCCATCGGAGCAGTGCATGATCAGTCAACTGTCCCGAACGTCTTTCACACTGGCCTCTGGACATCAGATAGTCACTACCTGACCTGGTCATGATCAAATATGTTAGCTTTGCTTGGCGGCATAAAGGAAAAGTATGCAATTATTTGTAAATTAAACAGTCTGAAAACGAAAGTAAATGAGGGGAGTTGAAAGATTTCTTATCCTGTGGCTCCCTCTAGTGGACTGCAGTTGTCCTCTAGAGTGCATTTCCGTGTTTCTGTTGATGACCAGTGCTATTGAGCAGCACTGAATGTGAATCACTAAAGGAGATATGAAACGAAAGCAAACTCAAACTACACTCTTTCGGTGTTTTCGTAAGCCTGCCCCTGTAGCTGCTGCTGCTTCAGCTGCAGCAGATGACACGAATCGCTTAAATGTTTTCATTGGCAAGGCTTAAAAAAACGTGCAAATGATTACGTTTCGTGAGGACTCACCAGTGGCCCCATCGGAGCAGTGCATGATCAGTCAACTGTCCCGAACGTCTTTCACACTGGCCTCTGGACATCAGATAGTCACTACCTGACCTGGTCATGATCAAATATGTTAGCTTTGCTTGGCGGCATAAAGGAAAAGTATGCAATTATTTGTAAATTAAACAGTCTGAAAACGAAAGTAAATGAGGGGAGTTGAAAGATTTCTTATCCTGTGGCTCCCTCTAGTGGACTGCAGTTGTCCTCTAGAGTGCATTTTTGCTCAGCCAATGCAAGTCTATGGGAAATCTTTGATTTTGTAACACACATACTGTGTATGTGTCTAGCAGTTAAACCCAATACAATGTTTATATCTCCTTGTTTCAGATGATGAGAGAGATGAGAACTCCTGACCAACCTTGTGGACTGAAAGTCAGGCTAGGGAATTTAAAAACAGGCTCTCTTAAATGTGCATTGAAATTGCCAGCTGATAAAACCTAATTATATGGGGACCATATTCTTAAGATAAATGTAACTGGCTGAGTTAAATGATTAACACTAAACAGTAAGAAATCAGTCCTGTCTCCCCAGCTGTAAATGCCATTAGCTGTTAAAGTCTTCTGTTGCTTATAATAAATTGACATGCTGATATCACATAAGCAGTCTTTCAGAATGCTCTCAGTTACATAGATGCATATTGTATGAGTTAGTGAGTGTGGTGGTGCTTATGGGGTGTTGCTGTGGGATGGTGAGTATGAGGCTGGGAGGGAATATCAGAGTATACCCACTACAAAAAACTAGACAACACCACTGTGCCTCCCTTATTTAACAAACTTGATTCAGATCATCAGTTCGTTATAATCAGAGGAGTAGGCCTATTGAAAAGTTCATGAAAGTGTCACTCCACAATACAATAGCAAAATATATAAATATGTATAGTATTTTTATGTTACTATAATCAGTGTCTAGCACACCTTCCTAAGGAAAGGATATGGACCAGAAGACATTAAAGAAATTCGAGTTTGAGTAAAGAAGTTTGAGATCTATACTTGTGCTCTTATTATTTCAGTTATTTTGCCATCATGTGCAAACAATGTTATTTTGATGTTAATTACATTGTGCGAGCTGTCTCTTTAATACCGCGTGGTTTATATACGTTGCTGCTGATTGGGCTGACATATTTGACACACCCACCAAACAAGAGAAAACGCATCTCAAACCCCGTTGCACACCGTTTCCAGAAACATGTCGTTCAACCCGGAAACCGTAGCAAAACGTTGCGCACCGGTTTGAGCTTGAACTTGCCCCCGATGTATGTGGCGTTGAGCTGTAAAGTAGGGCTTTTATTTTGACTTTAGCTTCGACTTAAGCTGAAGTTTCTTTCTTGATTCACACATGGCCTTTATGTAAAAATTTGGATTTGTGATTGAGCGCAGTTGTTTAGGTATGATCAGTTTACAGTTTTGCACCTTTTTTTTATTTTTTATGAAATATAATTTTTTTTACACCCGTTTTGCTGTTGCTGGTTGTTTATTTATATTATTCTCTCGAAACACATTTTCTAGCTTACTCGTTCAGTGCCTTACTTTAATATTTCATTAATATACCGCAAGTCTTTAACATTATATTTAATTAATGTATTATTTTCAAACCCGCAACTTTCTAAAGCTGACAAAATGATATGACACAGACAAATGATAATATCTTAAATTGTTATTTCCATTCATTGTAATGAGATTCCAGTCACATTTACTATAGTAATATGATGTGTTTGTGATACCTATTTTAAACAGATATGGCAGGCACAGATATGGACCCCGAGGTGGCTCGGGGCTTATTTGAAGTAGGAGCCACGCTTGTTTTACTTGGTGTTCCTCAGGGATCAGTGTTGGGACTTGGCTACAAAACCTGGACCCTGGGCCCTCGGTTCCGTGGGGTGAAGATGATTCCTCCAGGGCTTCACTTCCTCAACTCTAATGAAGCATGTGGTGACATTGGCCCCAAAACGGGCCTGTTTCTGTCCCTGAAACCCCGGGAGTTGCTTGTAGCCCACTGGAACCAGAGAGAAGATGAATTGGAGTTCAGTATGCGCTCGGCCTCCTCTGGGACCCAGAGGAGGCCGAGCGCATACGGGCCAACCTCAGAGAACTGGACGCCTACTCAGATCACACAGTGTAACATGGATCGGAGTTACGCTCTCAACTCTGTGCTTGAGAGGCATTATAAAGAGCAGCCGCTCGGTGTGCTAGGTGTGCATCGGTTGCTGTTCAGTTTACTAACTGAACATCATGTTAAATCTGAAAGGATGGACATTTTTGTTATAAAAAGGCAATAAAATGTAACTCTGTTTAGTTTAGGTAGCTTGTGGTCCTGTAATGTGTGTGTTGTCATTGGCAGTGTTGGGGAGTTACTAGTTACATGTAACGGAATTACGTAACTTAGTTACAAATTAAATGTAACTGTAATCTGTTATAGTTAATGAGAAAATATATGTAATTAAATTACAGTTACTTATGAAAATGTTAATGATTCCAAAGGGGGTTACATCTGAATTTTTTTTACACACACATACAGATATGATTTGATTTCTTTCCCAAATTGCTTTAAAATATGAGACCAGTGTTTCAGGAGTTTAGGAGACAGAATAGACACATGCTTATTAGATAACTCTTTTATTTCCTGTTTGGGTTTGTGTATATGCTTTCTGTTTAAATTACCTGTTTTTCCAAGGCATTGTTAGATGCCAGTGTTTCCTGTCATAGCTATGCAAAGATTTGATTTCAAAAACAGTATCAGCTATTAAACTATGTTTTATGATCTTAATTCAAGTGATGATGGATTTAGAAAATCTGACAGTTATCAGTGTTGAGTACCTCTGTAAGATTAACTCTTTCCTGCTTTAAATGTTTCAAAATGATTAACATTTTAATAAAAATGTAGGAAAAGAAAATAGACATTTAAATGAAGAAAAGTAATCAAATGTAAGCAGTTACATTACTTTGATAAAGTAATTGAAATAGTTACACCACTTAATACATTGTAAATAGGGTAACTTGTAATCTGTAACCTATTACATTTCCAAAGTAACCTTCCCAACACTGCTCATTGGTTTTTATTGAGACAAGCAACACTTTTATTAAAGTAATACTGTTGCGATTGATAAGCACCACTGAAATTTTCTTCAGGGAATGTATAAATCTAGTTACTATAATTTGTGCACTGAAATCTTGAGTTATAGAATGTCACTGTTTGCAGGAGAGCTGCAGTTTGCCTTGGTTTGTTTCCTCGTGGGGAATGTGTACGAGGCCTTCGAGCACTGGAAAAGCCTGCAGGCTCTGCTGTGCCGCTCCGAGGAGGCCATGAAGGAGAGGAAGGATCTGTATCCGGGCCTCATCGCCGTCCTCTGCCATCAGCTGGGAGAAATCCCTCCGCACTTCTTTGTGGACATCGTGTCGCAGAATGACTTCCTCCCCTCCACACTTCAGGTGCGCTTCACACAGTTCCCCTCTCAAATTCAGCCCAAACAGAAGTGGACTGATGACCCTTACGAAAAAGAAGTTTATTCAAGTGTGCTATTAGTATACTTCTTTTAAACTAAAAATAGGAAAGTATACTTTTAGTCTTTTTATGTACTTTCAAGTCATCTTACAGTCAACATCAAATCAAAAAAGAGACCATTTTTACTTTAGTAATGCATGTTTTTAATGAGCATAATTCATCAGGCCGCAATATTTCAAAGCGTAAACAGAATTTCTTTTTCAAATTTTATCTTTAATCAAAATATAATCGTTTGTTTCATCCCTGAAGCTTTTTTCTCTATGGCTGATATCAAAGACACACAAGCTATTGGTTATTATTAATAGTCAAATAGCTGTTTACGCATAAACAGTAATATAATAAAGGTTACAGCAATAATAGTGAATAATGATAGATTAGAAAAAGATGCTGTATTACTGGGATACAGTGATATCCAGCCTTCTTTAGCCTTCATGTCCCGGACAAGTAGACCTCCTCAAACGGAGGTGTTTCTGATGCTGGAGTCCTCTATGATCCATTGTAAGCTCATCTTCAGGTTTGGCTTTAATCTGAATCTAATCAATTCCCATCCTACCCTTTTCCCCACAGTGCTTATTGTTTCATGTGGAAATACATGACGTTATAGAATTAAAAAGGGGTTGAAATGGGCATTTCATGTTGATTTTTAATATAAATCTGTTTTAGATAGTCAAAAATTTTCTGTTTTCTATGAGTTTCATATGTGACCCTGGAGCACAAAAGCAGTCTTAAGTCGCTGGGGTATATTTGTAGCAATAGCCAACAATACACTGTATGGGTCAAAATTATCAATTTTTCTTTTATGCCAAAAATCATTAGGATATTAAGTAAAGATCATGTTCCATGAAGATATTTTGTAAATTTCCTACTGTAAATATATTAAAACTTAATTTTTGATTGATAATATGCATTGCTAAGAACTTCATTTGGACAACTTTAAGATGATTTTCTCAATATTTAGATTTTTTTGCACCCTCAGATTCCAGATTTTCAAATAGTTGTATCTCAGCCAAATATTGTCCGATCCTAACAAACCATACATCAATGGAAAGCTTATTTATTCAGCTTTCAGGTGATGTATCTCAATTTATCACATATAAAGGGTCACATATAATGTTTATTCATATAATGTTTCCTAAGGTTTCCCAGGGGTTCATCAGGGACCTGCAGGAGCTTCTTGAGTTGATTAAAAGCTAAATGAATGAAATTATAAACATAAGTGTAAAATTGAAATAAATAACTTTAAAGTAAAAACAATCAAAATAAAAAAGATTAAACTTTATTTATTTTATTTTTATATAGGTAGTGGTCGCTGACATGGGAGAACTGTAAAGTCGAAAATGTTTAATTGTTAATGTTTAATTTTTTTTATAATTGTTCAATGTTTAGTTGTTACATTTTAAAGTGGTCAGGACATGGATTTTTTATTGTTATTTTTAAATTTCTTGAGGTTTGCTTATAATAAATATAATGTTAAAGCTGCAGTCCGTAAGTTTTGCCTCTTTGTCGCCATCTCTGTTTGAAAACCTGGAATTGCAGTTACTCGCTGAATTATCTTCCTTGCGTGGGTTGTGCGGCGGCTCGGCTCCAGCGCGGATGAATATAATGTGCTGAAGAGTGTGTGTAGCAGTCAGTCACCGCACCGGTGTGGATATTTACTGTACTTCACAATCACAGATTCTAGCCTACGTCTTGGACGTATGACCAAAATAAGCATTATCACCGTATATTGTCATCTGAAAAAGTAAGTAACAAGCATTACAATAAATCGTGCTACCAACGGTGATTAAATCTAAAGATCGGTTAGCTCATATCACATCAAACCGTTCAAATTATTATTATTGTTATATGATGTTAACAACATCAGCATTGCGTGATGAGTATAGTGTGTATTAGCGTGTAGATTTCAATTTCTGCACAGTCTAATCTAATTGTCATACTCTTCGAATTTCATATAAAGAAATTATTTTAACCCAAAAAGCAAATCATGCTCCCTTCGAACTGGTTGTCTTTAAAATAAAAATCTTGTATAATCCCAGGCTAATCTGTAATCAGAAGCACATTTAAAACTGGAATATAATTTAATTTCATTCACATGTGTTTCATAAACACATAATCCTTTATGGATTACAATCCGCCATCAAAATGATACATTTAATTATTCTGGCTGCTGTGAGAAAAGGCTATAAACTATCGGCCACCTGCAGGATCCTCACATGCGATAGCCTACTAGCCAGGACTCCTTCTTTATGTTTACAGACGTGACGTAATGACGCTGAGGCATACTCGAATTTCCCGCGAAAACCTACCCGTACCACTCAAATTAGAAAACATTATTATAAGATAACCGTTGTGAATCGTGCTAAAGTAAGGTGATCGTTTTGAACACTGGCTGGTTATGTACTTGCTCAAATATTGATTTTGGATCATTTTTAACCAAAAAAAGTTAAGGACTGCAGCTTTAATAAAGTTTTTTTTTTTTTTAATCCAAACATATATTTGCAAATATTATGATTTGAGACATTTTAAAGAGGCTGCTCCTTTAAGGCTTGCCAGTAAACCGCTGGCTGACGTCATTGCATGGGCCCCCTTGACATGGCATGTGATTGAGGGTTTTAATATCAAACATCAGTTTCTTCTTCCTGACACTCAGGTCCTTCTGTATACTGTATCCAGTGTAGAAAGCGTCAGTGATTATAATGGGATCTATTTGCTTTTGACACAATGAGTCAGGAAGAGGATGTTTTAAGCTATGAAACTGGCAGCTTGTTTTAATGGATTAAGGACAATTTCTCCTGTCTAGACCCCTTTAAAGGATAGAAATACTATCTATAAATACCATATATAAAAATATAAATATGTGGTTTAGCTGGATTAAATGTTGGATTAAATGGATTAAAATGTTTGCTCTCATGATTAAAGATTGGTCTTTGTCAGCCAGCATGTACATTGTTATGCATTTACCAAATTGTAGGTGTTTTTAGTGTAACTGATGTTCTTTATATCTTTTCTTTCTATCGGTGCATTCCTGGACTTTTTCCAGTTTGCCAGCAGTCCCGGAGTCGACAGCACATTACGGAAAAGAGCAGAACAATTTCAAGTCCATCTGACCAAAAGGTTTCGTTGGGACTTTGATGCAGATCTTGATGAATGCGCTCCAGTGTTGGTGGAGCTTCCGGCGGGAGTCACCCTGGACTGATGCTGCTTCACACACACGGCCCATCCACTTCCACTCAGAAATACAGTGCAGGCCGCTACAGCAGTTTTTATATTGTTTTCACATGCACCTAATCGTGTCTTTTCAGACTGCAGCATCTGGATATCCTCCTGTCACTTCCTAAAGAAATATCACCATTACGTTGTATTAAAGATAACTATTTCACTTCACTGTGCTTCATTTGTGTTTTTTGTGACCCTGCATATCATGTATGAGCACTAGAGGGCAGGCCAGTACACAAGAAATGATGTCTTGAGACCCTGGACAGTCTGATATTTTGTCTGCATATGTGATCATTCATGGCACTTCTTCACACAGTCTCTACAAAATCATCAGCACAAGAAACTGTTTAACCTGCCACTCCTTTCAAAGTCACCCTGTTTATTGAGGCGTATGCTGAGACAACATTACTATTAATAAAGCTCAGATGTAGATTTAAACAAACCCGGAGCCTTAAGTATTAAATGTCAACACAAACTCAAATCTTAAATTTGAAGCTTCAGTTTTCCTATAGTTGGGAATCGCTGATCACCGCATGATTTTAATGATCTTTATTATTATTTAATAACGAATAATAAATAACTTTATTATTATTTAATAACGAAAAAATTTCGTTGTACAGCTGTACAATGACAATAAAAAGCTATTCTATTTTCCCGCAACGTAACGTTTATTTGGCATCAGTTTCTGGTTTTTATTCTTCACATTCATTTGTCTAACTGAGTCACATGAGTGTTTTGTCTGCAGTAAGCAGGAGGCTGAGGTTTTCACTTCATTCAGGGTTTGTATCAGTGGAGCTGCCAAAGCAGACACAGACCCCTCCGTTTCCATCAGACCACTGACCAATACAATCCCACCTAATGCAAACAGCCCAATAAAAAAGACACTGAACTGTATATCCTATAGTAGTAATAGTAATAGTAAACCTGAACATCATGAGTGACACTGCTTTATGTGGTTCACAGTAGAATTATTTGCATTTTAATATTGATCAACAATGGAGTTTCACACCGTTCAGGTGTGATTTTGGCCCTACAGATCTAGCTGTTGCATCCAGGCAGATTTGCTGCAGGTGTTTCCAGCTAGTCAGATGATGTCTGTGCACTGGAATTTTATTGAAATTAGTGCCAAAGATTTCTCACTAGACTGATCAGTGTAGGACAGTCCTGTTTTTGCTGAAGTCTCCTGCTTCCCAGATGCTTCTCCAATACGTATAATCCTGTAGAGAAAAATAATAAACAGTGCTCAGATTTGCCAATATGCAATCAAATGTTAAGATTTCGTTATGAACACAAACATTTATCATGTTATGTCATTCACATTTATTTTATAACTGTACTGTCAACAGTTGTCAGCAGAGGTGGGACCACGTCATTGTTTTGCAAGTCACAAGTAAGTCTCGAGTCTTTGCATTCAAGTCCCAAGTCAAGACAGACAAGACCAAGTCGAGTTGCAAGTCCTCAGCTTTAAGATTCAAGTCTTAAACAAGTCATTAGTGCTTTTCATCTAGTAGTTTAGACTAATTAGCTAGCTGTTTTCTTAGAACCTTTTTAGTAGTGTTTAAGTTAGCCACACCAGATACTGTTGTTTACCAGCCACATCGCTTCCACAGGAAGATTTAAAGGGGTCATATGATATGATTTAAATTTTTCCTTTCTCTTTGGAGTGTTACAAGCTCTTGGTGCATAAA